ATACAGGTGATTGTGCCACCCAAGAAACGCCCTTTCTATGGAAAGTCTTCAGACGCTGAAAGAATGCAAGCACAAAGAGCAGCTGAAACAGAAGAAGAACGCAATCAAAGACTTCAAGCACAAGCTGCAAGACAGGCTGCTCAAATACAGGAAGAGAACTTTGGAACAACGTAAAGTTAGACTTTGAGCTCAAGCTGAAAGGCAGGCTACTCAAAATACAGCAAGAAACTATTGAACAGCACAAAGCCAGAGTTCAAGCACAAAAATTAAGACAGATAACTTACAGAGAGCAAGAAACAGAGGAGCAACATGACAAGCTCAAACACGATCTAATTTCAAATAAAGCTTTGTTTGATTAAATGCTCTTTTATTTCTTGCATCACAGCTTTTGTCTACTTACTGAATTATTTGTTGAAAAAATACTGATCTATACATTTCAAATCTAAATTTTCACCATGCAATGCTGGGTAACTCAGCTAGTTATACATAAACAATGATTTATAAAGGCTGTAGCTCTGTTCTTAATTGTAATGTAATTGGTATTCTAGAGCTTCAATCCTACAGTACAGGACATGATTACGTCTTTACTGCAAATGGTAGAAATAAACCTGTTCTTCAAGAAAAAACTAATTAATAAGATCTTATGCTACTAATTTTTTACCACATAACATAAATAAATAAGCATATAAAAACAGTTAAGCTTATATTTATAACTTAATTTAGCAGACTGACTTTCTTGCAAACCACAATTTTCTCTATGTCCAGATTTCCAATCAAGAACTTGATGTTCTTTACTACAGTAATTCTTCTTATGACAACGTCCACATCGTTTGTCTCCTAAACAGCCACAAACATCACAAACAATCTGAAATTTGTCCACAGACCACTTCTCCACATTTTCGTTTGTTTCATTTGGTGGATTATAATCATAGAATTTGTTTTTACGAGGAAGTTGGCAACGAAATACCTTGAAATTCAGATTGCTGTTTTTCGAACAACATTTCGGGCTTTTGCAAAAGAATATAAATATTGTACGGTGAAATGTAGTTTCTTTTCCATTCACTGGAGCGTATACCTGCTGTAAAAATACAGATGGTTCATTGCATACGTTACATCTCAACATCGAAGATGAGGGAATATCAGTCATACTTAACCATGCTGGTTTTCCTCCAATTTTACTAGGAAAAAATCGACTAGTTAAATACGATGATTCCGATTGTTCGATAAAACCTAACTCAACAGGCTGACATTTACTTCCTTGTTCACAAAAATCTTTAGTCTCGTTCTCAGCAGCAGTATATTCAGCCATCTTAACAAGGAAAGCGGCCTCTCCTTAAGTTAGAGATATAAACCGTGGCAATATTTATATATAATTCATACTTTTTAGTAAGTATTATTGAAAACTATATTTGTAATATTTAAATTACAGGAAGACTTGAAATTGGCTAACATTACTCCTCTTTTCAAGGGAGACACAAAAATTGTCTCAGGAATTATATGCCTACTAGTTTTACATCAGTAGTGGGTAAAGTTTTTGAAAGTCTGATTAAAGATGCTTTTTCAAGTCATTTAAGAAAGTTTAAAATTTTATCGGATCGTCTAAATTGTTTCACTAAACGAAAATCTCTGTAGGTGGGTCACTGGATAAAAATTGGCTGGATGGAAGAAAGCAAAGGGTTGTTATTAAAGGTGGGTCATAACATTCAGTTATGATCATGAAGTATGACTCAAGGTATTTGGGCATGGCATGGCCAGGTAGTTAGGGCGCTCGACTTGCAATCTGCGGGTCGCGAGTTTGAATCCCTGTCCCACCAAACATGCTCGCCCTTTCAGCTATGGGGGCGTTATAATGTGACGATCACATGTCATCTCGTTTGTTGACTCGTATTTAAAATTTTATTGAACTACTATTTCATGAATTTTTTGTCAATAAGTTTTGTATCACACCATAGATTATAATTCAAATTTTAGTACTATACATTACTCAATTTCGTAATTCAAATGTAAATATTAAAAATACAGATAAACATCATTTTTGTTGTGTCACGTGGAATGTTGAATGCAGCACTGGTTCAAATTAGATGTTTGTGAAGTCAAAATATTAAGTCTATAGTTGCGTACGAATTAGAAACTCAAATTTCTGATATTCACAGGCGATAATTTAAAATAAGAACGTCTTATCTTTTCTATTTGATTATTCAAATGTATATATGAAACCTAAAAAAATGTTGTTCATATCCTCCACATGCACAATTTTTAAAGGCTTAGCAACCTACGAAGCAGCAACCGAGTTCAAAGGTCGTAACTAGAAGAGATAATTGTTTGCTTTACTTCTTTATTTATTGTTCTATGTTCATGAAATAAATCAAACACACTGGCACCCTGCCCATCTCTTTCCATTTTTGGACACTCTCCCTCAAATACACTTACTTGTATAAATGACATGAACAACCAATCGGAAGCTCAGAATGTCCCTTTAGTGGCTTTCTCAGCCATTTTAACTGGTTTGGACACCATTAATTTTTTTGAACCAATATTTTAAGGAGGTGTGCCTTTAGTCTGCTCGAAATTTAATATTTTTAGATTAGAATACATCTTAGTTACTAAGCTTGATAATTTATGATTTTTAGTTATTCAAATGTGTATATATATATAAAACCTTTAAAAATTATTTTCTTTCATATCCTCCACCTGCACAATTTCTAAAGGCTTAGCAACCTACATTAAGCACCAACCAAATACAAAAGTCGTAACTAGAAGAGAT